TTTTGCTGTAAATGATTGCAAGATGAACAGAAACTAGCCCTAGTGGCTTTAAGGAAATTATAACAGGGCCACAGAGGAGAGAAAGAGACTTCTCTGAGAATGGAATCACATTGTTCTGGAGCGTTGAACCAATTTTACTAGGCAGAGAACTGAATGTATTTAGTGTAAGTACAAAGTCACACACACACACACACAAACTGTAACAATGTTACGGGTGACTCACCCACATACCCTAGCATGCATCATTTTGGAGCAAAATAACCCAGTGGCTTCCAGCTAGAAACACTTGCAGCTTTTTACTTGAGGGCCTTCAACCACAGAGCTTACCCAGTCAGTAGGAAATGCCACACAAAGTACTTTGAAGTTAATTATCATCCTTACCTTCTTGCCCTCCTAATAGCCCTTTACCTAAGACTGATATAAATCAATGGATACATAGTTCTATTCCTTGGCTTTCAGGTGGAGTAATTCTGAAGCCTGCTTTATGCTATCTCCTAGAATTCCCAAGTAGTATTCCTCATGGCAGTAACCTATTATATAATCAATGTTAATTGGCTTTTTAAATTTCCCTAACTTATTTCCTTACTCCCATCTAGTGCTCCCCCACAATCACTTCTCTGAAGAGCATTCTGATATTGAGAAACCTTATTGGATAATGGAAGTAAAAGTCACTTATCAGGGCCCTCTGAAAATGGTACAAAACAACAGAGATTCTGGAATGGGCTAAGCAGCCGGAAATCACACACTGATGCCTAAGCCCCTTGAAATCAGATCCCCAAAACTAGGGTACCAGTGAGAACTGACGTTCAAGGTAGGCAAATAATAAATGATTTCTAAATTCCTTCTTCAAAAGTTTATCTGTCCATGTCAAGGTCAATTGCATTCCAAACAACTTGAATGTGAACTAAAAATTATACTGGTCGTTTTGACATTTTTTAGGAAGATGTGATACTAGAAGAATGAAAGAAGCAAGTTTTGCCCTGATTTCAATTGTAATACTCAAAAGATGTATTTAATTCTACAGTGATGAGCTTGAAATCAAAATAAGAGGTTTTTTTGTTTGTTTGTTTGTTTGTTTTTTGAGATAGAGTCTCGCTCTGTCGCCCAGGCTGGAGTGCGGTGGCGCGATCTCCGCTCACTGCAAGCTCCGCCTCCCGGGTTCATGCCATTCTCCTGCTCAGCCTCCCGAGTAGCTGGGACTACAGGCACCCGCCACCACGCCCAGCTAATTTTTTTTGTATTTTTTAGTAGAGAGGAGGTTTCACCGTGTTAGCCAGGATGGTCTCCATTTCCTGACCTCATGATCCGCCCGCCTTGGCCTCCCAAAGTGCTGGGATTACAGGCGTGAGCCACCGCACCTGGCCCAAAATAAGAGTTATTTTAAAAAATGTATACTTTCTGGCCACTTTTTAAAAGAAGTGGTAATAATTAATAAACAGCATTACAAATTAAGCTATTTCCTTTTCAAATAGATTCACTGACAAATTAGGAGGAAATCATTTCGTATCCTCATTGCAAGGCAACTGAGTTTCTTATGATTTTTTTTTGGTAGATGGAAAATTCCCACTCAAAGATTATTAGCAACTTGATATATATTATCCTCGCCAGTGGATATGTGTTATGCCTATCAAACTTGGCACTGCTGGCATTTGGACAGGACAGTTGTCTGCTGGGATGAAGGGAGGGCTGTCCTGTGCACTTTCGGTTGTTTAGTAGCATACCTAATCCCTACCCGGTGGACACGAATAGTTCTCTCCACCCAAAACATGACAACCAAAACTGGGTCCTGACATTACCAAATGTCTCCTGGGCAAAAGTGCCCCTGTTTGAAAAGCACCGTTTGCAGGGAGGTCTTTTTGAGGCCTCCCTCAGAACTCTTTCACTAATGAACTTATTTTCATGTAAGTGTATGCAAATTTGCCAATGATGAATATTAGGACATCATATGAGAAAATCAAGATATAAATTTATCTGAACTGATCAGTCTTCAATACAATGAAATTTCTCATGGTTAAATGTAAAATACTACATTTATATTCGAGTAATAATTGTCTAGGTACAAGTTAAAGGAGACTGTACCTGGAAAAAATCTGATAATTTTGTTGATCATAAATTCAATGTAATTCAAATAAGCAATATATGCTTTTGAAAAATCATGAAATCTTAAGTGTCATTATCTGGGAGAAAAAGTTCAAACCAAGGAAGGTGAAAAATCCATTGTATTTTGGCTGATCACCAAATGCTATGGTTGTTTGGTGTCAGATTTTGTGAACAGCGGTTCAGGAAAAGGTTACTAAGATTACGAGATGCTTAGAATCTATATAATTTGACTAATGGCCATGATAAACCAGAATATTAAGATTGGAGAAGAGAAAATCCAGACAGTGTTTAGGGGAGGGTAATGGTATTGGAAAGGCTGTCATGGGGAAAAAGGGTATATTCTATTTTGCACAAAGAGAATTAGAATCAGTAAGTGAAGGTTACAGAAAACTAGATACAAGGAACCAAAATTATCCTATCATGAAATCGATTGCCTTGCAAAGGAGCTACCCTTCCTCTAGCCATGGCTATGCAATGCTTTGTCTGGGACGTTGTAAAAGTGTCTCCTATGTTGGGAAAAATATTAACATAAACACCTACAATAGTCTTAATTTTAAACCTACGAATTTATGATAATTCTACTCTCTTAGTAGCTACGTAGCACACTTTAATTTTACCCTATTACACAGGTGAACTTTAACTTTTATCTTTTAGTAAAATATTGAACTTTATGCAAAGCATTTAAGTACATTATGTTTTTTATTCCTCACAATCCTATAGGTTGTCTCCTTATCATTCTCTTTTATGGCTGAATAAACTTAGTATGATTGAGTGATTGCACGAAGTCCCACAGCTAATAATTTTCAAATCTAGTATTTAGACCCACTTTGCTTGAACTGTTGGTGCTTGTGACAGATCATTAAGATTATTTTACTTAACTGAAAGCACACTGTTCTAATCAGTAATCATCTGAAATTTCACAGACCAGAAGCATTCAATATTTCTTTTATTGATTGTTATTTTTACTGAATGAATGCTATGGTTCCATATTCTATGTTTCTCAAGAAGTTATTTTCTCCTTTTTATTTAAAGGTGACCACATATTTAGGGGTCAGTAAGGTATTTTTCATAGTCTTGCTGCCACTCTCAAATACTGTTGACCTCTACATGCTTAAAGATGGATGCATTGTTGGGTAAGACCTTGCTGCATATTAGATATTCACTGACTGTCTTCAAGGTGCTAAATCAAAGATTCCAATTCTTGGAGAAGTTTGCCCTTAATATTAAGTTGTTCAGAAGAGTAGAGATATGTGGGATGAATGGGGTGATTTTCATATACTAGACCTCAATAAATAATTGAAGACTGAACTTGTAAAAATGAAGCAAGATTAATTTCAATAAAAATTGTATAACTGGACATTTAGTTATAGAGAAGGATACTGTAATGGTTAAAGTTAGTTCATGCCATCTCCTTGACTTTTTTTTTTTTTTTTTTGAGATGGAGTCTCGCTCTGTCACCCAGGCTGGAGTGTGGTGGTGCAATCTTGGCTTACTGCAACTTCCACTTCCCAGGTTCAAGGAATTTTCCTGTCTCAGTCTCCTGAGTAGCTGGGAACACAGATGCCCACCACCACTCCTGACTACTTTTTGTATTTCTTGGTCTTCTTAATACTCGCTGAACCATTCATCTTCAGTATTATTTCTAAAAAAGTTTTGTTTATATCTAATGTCTGTTTTAGTGATTCTCAATCTTTTGGGGAATTTTGAAACCATTTAGGGATTTGATGAACCTAATGAATACTTTTACTGGGAAAATGCTCATTCACATATACCTGCCAAGTTATTATATGTATAAATATATATTATATATAATTATTTTATATTAAATACTTAATACTTATATTAAAATATTTATATTCAATATATATTTATATATTTATATGTAATAGCAATTATATATGTTAATATATATCTATCCATTATATATACATATATATTTTACATATATATCTCTATTATTACATATATGTAAGTTAGCAACCCTTGAGGCCTAATCACTGGGCCCTGGACGTCTATGCCCTCTATAGGTTAAGACCCAAAATACTTGGCCTGATTACTAATAACAGGTTTTATATAGCAACCGCCTTTGAAGTGCTTACGTATTTTTAAGGGAAATTAAATTATATATCCTTTAATTTAGATATTAATAAAATGTGGATTGTTTCTGTTACATTTTTACAATCATGCATTAATAGTAATAAAGAAATAACAAATATATCTAGACACTGCAGGTTCAAAATGAATTAAGCATTCATGTTCAGACTTTTTACTGTTGAAGAAAAAAAGACTAAACTTACGCATTTTCATCAGAAAATCATTTTCAAGTGCCCGGGTTTTAAAACAGTTACCAACTGTTGAACTAAAACTTACTCTGATGAATCATCTGATTTCTAAAAAGCCAATTTATTTTGTGAGAAATAAATATAGTTCTATGGAAACAAACACTATATTCTTTTATACTTTTTTTTTTCAAATAACATGTGAGAGTCAAAGAAATTAGGCAAATGGTAACTAGTATGTGATAGTGTTGGAATTTAATCACAGGTTTACTTAACTTGGATTCCATTGTTTTTTATAGAGAAAAAGCATATTTACGAAATTAGTATTTTAATGTTGTTTTCAATAATTACTGTATCAGTTTATGGTTTCTGGCATATCAGGATGAACAAATGTATACAAAAGTACATTGAGTGGCTCTGCCTTTAATTGTATGAATATAGATGTGTTTAATGACTAGTAAACTTCAGACAAAAGAGAGTCAACATTCTTCCTCTGTAATATAAGGATGGGTCTTCCCTTCAGATGCAGTCTTCCTTACTGTCCCACTTTCACCACTTTCCCACTTTCACCACATCACGAAATGGTGCCGCATATACTTTTTTAAATCAATAAATCCGCAGTTGTATTAAGAAATATTTTATTAACAAAACGGTAAATTCCACTTGCTTAGCATTTCCAATAATGGATAAATTGGCCTTGCAACAGAAAAACAAATAAACAAATAAAAAAAGAAGAAGAAAACCCCTTAGATACCCAATCACACAAAGCACTAGAAGGGTAGGGTTTTGTGGCCTTTCTTTGATGTTTTAGGGATTGACCACTTCACACATTATTGTAGTATTCGTTGTTTTAAAAAAGGCAACACATTACATGGATAAAAAAGAAGCATAATCAATCCGAAAAGTTACAGTCTAGAGATGTAATCAAATTTATGCCAAGTAGTGTGAAATCCTCAATCAACTGCAAACTATGCATGGAACCCTGATATGTTTGGTATGAAGATACTTGGGATTCAAGTCATTTTCTCCTTCTAACTCTGTTTCCCTCTTTTCTTTTTCCATTCAGGAAAAAATAAGTTTTGCTAGAGTGAGTTTGTGTAAGCCAATAATATTAGAAATAATCTTACTGATAATAAACTATATCATTGCATGTAACTTTAAAATTTATGCTGGGGAGAAACATTGAAATCAATCCCAAACAACACATTTCATAGATATACTGCTTAAAATTACCATTATTCAATTTATTTTCTATTATATTTTAGAATCTATCCAGATGGAAACTGGTTCAAGCTTAATAGATAAAATAGAAAAGCAACCTTAAAACAAAACAAAACAAAACAAAACAAAAACCCTTCAAGCTGTAAATTAGTAGTTTTACACTTCCCTTCTTATTTTACTGGCTTTCCCTGAGTAAGACTGAATGAGACGGGGGAAAAGAAAAGACTCATGAATTCTTTAACGTGGCAAATTAAAAAAAAAAGAAAATCTAGAAAAGAAGTAATGGATATTAAATTTTCATTGTATACCTTCTACTGTCTGGGTCATAAAAAGCCATTAAGATTCTTTCACAACAATTACTTGGCAACCATAGATAGTGGTGATTTGCTATGAATTATACATATTTCTAAGGTGCTGTATATCTGAAATCCAGGCCACTTCTTGGCTTTTTTTCATCAACTAAAGTATCACAAAAGATGTTTTGCATTTTTTGCCTTTGCTGATTAAAGCTAATTGTAAAGGTATTCTTCTCTTCTACAAAATTTATTATCGCTCTTTTAGAAGGTATTCAAGTAATGCAACCAATTTTTACTGAAGCATCAACTTGCAATCTAATAATGCATTTCTTTTGCACTACCTTCTCATATTAATAATTTATTGCTGTGAACATCATTGAATAATATGCAAAAACAAGTGTATAATCTATACTTTTCTACTACTTAATGTGTTAAACTAAAACTATATTTAATGATATATATGTAAAACCAGAAAAGTTAAAACATAGTCAATAATTAACAGAGAATGATTTTCTTAAATGGGTAATACAGAATAAAAAATTACTGAAAAATACTTTCTTAGTTGAGAAAATGTTTACTTTCCAGAAATGTTCATCATGCACATCAGATTCAGAGAATATATGTATTACTTTATTAGAAAGAAAGTTTTCAATTGCAGCAGCCAGAGTTAAGGTGTAGATTAATCAATTTTGCTTCCATAACCTGCCCACATAATGGTTCTTATTCATGCAGCAGTATATCAGTGATATTCTATTTGATAAGGAAAGGTTCATATCATTAGGGACTAAAATCTTCTTGGGGTTACCTGGGAGCAAGATCTCAATGAAGCAAATCACCCCATTTGTCATCAATACCTTGGCACAACCCTCTTCCTTCCTGCTTTTCAATATGTCAATAAATATTTGCTACTGTATGCACGTTTGGATCTTCTAGTACATCTGATGGATTGCTGTGGATTCGTGTGTGTGTGTGTGTGTGTGTGAAAATAGTGAATGTATGTGGGAATGTATTTCAGGGAGAAAAGATTATAAGATACATATGTATATATTTGACTTTCTAATTCACACCTTTCATACAAGTACTAAAACTCAATTGCAACAGAATGAAGGCTGTACATATAAGAAAAAAAGTAGCTGAGTCTTTTTATATACATTCATACATATCTTCCTTAGAATAAACACTACACTGTAATTTCTTTAAAAAATAAAAGTAAGTAATTGTGGCAATTTATAATGGTGGCAAAAAAACAAAAACAAAACAAAACAAAAAAACCAAATGAAATAATTGTTGCTCTGATGTCATAAAACTCCCTATACTTAGCAACACTTATAACATTGAATTTACCAAAAATGGCTGAAGAGCAGAGATATATTTTGCATTTTCTATACAACAGGCTATAAAACGTCACTTATCACAGTCCAGAAAGCACACAGAGATGGATTTTATATAAACATATGTAATAACATAATAAGCGTGCATGAAAATTTCCCAATGATTGCATCTATGCCCTCTTGTTTTTGTTTTGAAATTTTGTGTGAAAATGTGCCTTATATTTCACATTTTTGAAAATAAGGCCTCCATACTTTTTTTCCTCTCTCACAACCAGAAAGGGGCTTTTTGAATGTGTTCCTACACAAGTCTTCAAAAAAGCCAGCACTTTGTTTCAAATGCAAGTTCCAACCACTGCTCCAGTTGCACCAGGCGGCAAACTCTTAAAGGTTTGCAGGTTGAGTCACTCAAAAGGACAGTCTTCTCTGGCAATTGGACTAACTGACTTCTCAGGAAAGCGCTAGCACTTTGGCTAAATCCAGGATCATAGGTAGCTTCTTTTTTGTGTTATGTTTTGTGTTGGTTTCTGTGTTGTGCCTTGATGCTGTAATACTCCTTTGCTTTATGAATGCGTGCGGTCATCACTGTCTTTTAGAAATGTTCCAGCAACATAAAGACAAGCAGAGTAAATGAAAACACTGTGGATGTTAGGGAATTTATTGGCCCCTGTTTTTTGTTTTTTGTTTTTCTTTTTTGAGAAACAAGAGCATGAGATACTTGTTTTTATTTTTTAAAAAGTCTTTCCTTCCTGATTGCATTCCCTGTCTTCTTTTGTATGTGCTTCATAAAAAGGAAAGTAAGTAAGTTTATATTATGTCTCAGATAAAATGAAGACTATTTCTATACAAGTGTCCATTTAAGATCTTGGGATCAGACATAATACTCTTTATCCTTGTTTTTCTTATTTTTGTTGGCGCTTTTCGCACTGCTGGGTTGTTTCTCCTTTACGACAGCCCCATTGGACTGTGCTGAGTTACTGATGTAGTTTCGACTCTCGTCCACATGGTATGAGCCTTCATCCCGGTTTCTGTACTTGTACATGGCATAGAGGAGGATAAGGATGCACAGGGCGGCAGCAGCTACTATCCCAACGACCATACCCGTGGTGCTGCTGGACTCCCGGATCACTTCTGCTGAGCCTGGGTACGGCTCTCTGCCGCCTGCTCGGGTTGGGTTGGCTATAGAAAAGAGGATGAGAACAAACACAAAGTGATCATTGAGTTCACTGAATACCAGAGAGCTACATTCACATTTATTATCTATTTCTAACAGTTTCTATGCATTAGGAAAGGTATCCTGTTGATACCTGTAGCCATCCCTCTGCCTCACGGGTACTAAAAACTAGGGACTATGATTCAAAGTTCTCTGCGAGAGATTTGTTGCTATGTCTTCTTTTTCACAAATCAATTTTGTTTACAGAGTTCTGTAAGCATTGCCCTAAATAAACCCCAATTAGCTCTAAAGAGCCATGTTGGTGGGTTAAGTGGAAAAACCACAAACCCAACATAAAGAAAAGCAGAACAGCCCTACCCTATAATACTATAGGGAATCATAAGAATCAAATTGGTGTTGCTCTAGAACATAGGTCTAACTAGACTGAATCAGGAAAACTAAATTTAGGACTACTTTAGAAATCCTATTCCCTTGTATTTTAAAGAATACAATATTGAACAATAAGATAATTCACACATTTTAACTGTCTGCTTTTTAAAGTATAACTTCAGTTACATTTTTATAAACGAAAATAGACTAATTTCCATTTTGTTGGAGATTTACTTGTTTACATAAGTATGTGTGTATTTTATTAATTGACTGGGGAGCTCCCAAGCTAAACTTTGGAGGAGAAAGTAATAAAATATTCTTTCTCAGGTTTAAATACAGTCTAGATTGATTTTTTAGTCAAAACTCAGAACTACCTAATAGATAATAATAGAAGACTGACTAGTTTTATTCAACTGACAAAACCCTTATTCAGTCTTCCCAAAGTATAAGTAAGGTTCTTTCTTGCATGAGAGCAATGGATTTTGGGGCGCCTATATCTTCTTGAAGGCTTGGTCAGACACTGAAATTGATCGATGGGGAAGAATGGACCTGAGATTTAATTGGTAGATAGGAGGAGAAGGAGCAGCTCTTTTCCTCTATATATAATAAACTTTTTTGATATTAAAGGATAGAAACTGTAGAGAGAGAAGAAGATTCTATCCTACTCTGACTGTAGGTCATTTTTTCCTTGTGAATTGTGTTTTCTGCTTTTCCCTGAATCTCTATCCTCTCACTTGTCCTACATAAAAATATTACTTTTCAGATGTAATGTATTAAAAATGCTACAACTTTCAAAACACGATTCTTTGCCAATTATGCATAATGAACTTAAATAATCTCGATTGCATATATATTAGATAGGATGTATGTGTATGAGTGTGTGTTCGTGTGTATGTAAGAACTGAAAACTTAAGAAGACTAAAATTATGCTTTTATTTCACTACTACTAAACATCATTTAGTAATTAGTTTTAATATTTCTGCAAAAGTTCTTGTTAATTACTGGGAATCATTTTACCAAACATATGGCTCTATAGTGCTCTGTAATTCCATTTTCAAATATCACCAAGATTTCTTTTGCCTAAATGTGTGTGTGTGTGTCTGTGATTTTCCTTTCCTTCTCCAAAGAAAGTCTTAACAAATATAGCCATTTCCAAGGTAGTAGCTCTCAGTCTCAAATTAGCAATATGCTATGTTCTGGTGCTACAAAATGTAGCAGGTGAAATTTTTTGTGCTGAATATGTCCTTGCTTGTTTTACAAAAGCCCATGGAGTGTGGCTTAATAAAAAGCTTTGGAGTTGCTTCTGTGGCCAAGGTGGAAGGAGACAAAGACTGTAATCCACAGTATTTGATTACAGGAATTAATTTTCTCTCATGAAGAATAGAATCTCCTGCAGTAACTCTGTCACTACCTGACAAACCAAAGGCAGCACTTTCTCTTTTAAATACAGTCATCTTTGCCAAAGTGTGCCAATTAGCTCAGCTGCTTTCACTAAATGAAAACTTTCATTTTACAGAGCATTCTTTTACTATGGTGTCTCGAGAGCTAAAAAGGGAATTTTATTTAAATGTTACCTAAATCGTTTTTTTCCAACCTGATGGAATGCTTTCATTTTAAACACATTTTCACAACTACCTCACTTTTACTTTGTCTGACAGAAGGGAATAGGGAAAATGGAGATAACATTTGAATCATTTAGCTTATGACAGTAAAATTGGAGAATTTTAATGGAATGGAGGATTTATATTTTGTATACTAAGAATAGACATGTATTTTTTTGATAAGGAATTGGTATCAAAAATGGACTATCTTATCAAAAAAACATTTATTTTATTTTTATCTGCTACAATATTTCTGAGAGGTTTTCAAAACAACTATGCACATAGCCTAATAACAACTTTGTGTTAAAATAAGAATGAGGTCACAAAGACCACAACAAAGCCTGAAATCCTTCAACTGTGCCATACGCATTTGAAAACATCTCCCATTTAAGGAAAATATTTTCTTTTTTGCAACACTAGCCAAATTGTTGCTTAAGTCATATCAGGCCTAAAAATATCTGTATACAAAACCCAGATGTAAAAATTCTAAATATCATGTTTCTTAAAAATATAACCTACAAAAGCTCTACCAAAATTAAATAAACCCAATAAACATGTTATCTTTCTTTTCCCTGATTCACATTAAAATTTTAATAACCATAATAGCAGATATTATTATAGGTATGTTTGGAATACTCCCATGTCTGACTGATTAATATTCCTTTTCTATTTATGCTTCAAATCTGAAGGCTAAGTGAAATTTTTCTTGACTTTTCTTCTAAGACTAGAAATATTTATGTGTTGGTCGGGCAGGGTGGCTCACGACTATAATCCCAGCACTTTGGGAGGCCGAGGCAAGTGGATCACAAGGCCAAGAGATGGAGAACATCCTGGCCAACATAGTGAAACCCTGTCTCATACAAAAATTTGCTGGGTGTGGTGGTGTGCACCTGTAGTCCCAGTTACTTGGGAGGCTGAGGCAGGAGAATTGCTTGAACCCGGGAGGCAGAGGTTGCAGTGAGCTGTGATCGCACCACTGCACTCCAGCCTGGCAATAGAGTGAGACTCCGTCTCAAAAAAAAAATATATATATATATATATATATATATATATATTCATGTGTTAATATAAATATATATATTCATGTGTTAATATAAATATATATATTTATGTGTTAATGGGACATCTCTCCCAGATATGCAATAAAAGGCTGAAGACATTTAAATATATTCATTAATTATAAATGTGGCTTCTCTTATTGTCGCTAATGATTTATTTTGATGAGCACTGAAAAATCTCTGAAGAAAATTTATATTAATGTAAATATAGAGAATAGTATCAATGACTAATATGATTAAATGTCTTTTTATGTAATTTGTTCGAAATTTATATAAACGGGAAATGCTGTCATCTCAGCCATTTACAAAAATGTGAAAAAAATAAGATAAACTTATAATTAATTTCATGGATTTAAGAATTTTGCATTCCCTCTAAACTATATAATAAACTAAAATAAGACATTTTAAAACAATTAAAGCCATCTGCTACATGTTTTGGTCTTAGCAGTGCTGAAATGTGAATAATGTAATTAACTAAAATTTACTTTCACCCCTTCTTTCTTTCTTTGTTCCAGCATGTGACAAAGAAACAAGTGAAAGAGAATAACTTGTTAAAAAAGATTTAACTTGTTAAAAAAAGCAAGTGAAAGAGAATAAAGGAGGAGGAGCTAAAATAATGGAATACAAACAAATAAGCTTAAGTCTTTAAGTCCTGAATCTTCAAAGATTAACTCTGATGTGTAGGTAAAATTAAGCCGACGTAGCCAGTTCATTATATTGGGCCCAGGGATATAAGGAACTTGGATCAATGGAAAACTTCAGTAGGATTGACAGTGATCCACTACATGTGAGGAGAGAGAGAATGCACGCCTTCATCACACTACGAAGGCTTTGACTTGTGCTGGCATTTTTAACCTAAATGATTTGGAAGCTACTAATTATTCTAGCAAGGAAACAGAGTAGTACAGTAATTATGACCCATTTCATATTTGTATTCACTTCTTTTCTACTCACTTCTGAGATTCATTTAGCCAAATGGCTATAGAAAAATTCCTGGGACTCTTGCACTGATAAAGCATGCTACCTTAAAGGACCACTGAAAAGTAGCTTTTAATCCTTCCTCTCTCCCCTAGCATTTGGTAAGATATGGTGGTCTCTAGAAGTTTTCCACATGATCTGCTTTGTTCCTGTAGATTTATCAAGAATCCTATGAATTTTCTTGTTTTATGTTGTCTAATTAATATTGTGGTAACTTAGGTAAACATAAGCTGTCAAGTGTTTGGACAGTTAGTAACATATTTCTGCATTATAGTCTAAATCAGTTTGTTCATATCCAATGATAATTCAGATGATAATTCATTGTGGAAAATGAATAGCTAATGCTAAAGGCATATTTTAGTGCCTTATCACATAGAAAAAATAAATGCAACTGTTGCTCTGAATTAAAAATTAAAAAAATAAATCTTTCAGATTTTAATTTGTCTTCCGCTGAGATAGTTATTTCAAACTACAACAACAGGAAAGGAAATTGCCCTATGTGTTATTTCTTTATTTTTGATAGTCTTTGATACTGTATCTGTGAAAGAACATCATTTCCTCAAATTAGAACAAATTTAGATCCAATTAAGAAACACATGGGGAAAATATGTTTGAGACACATTAGACTTCAGTACAGAGCAGAGAGGGATGTCAGTGCAGGCTTCATCTCTTACCAGCTTCTTGCACCCTCTGTTGCTTCCTCCATGCTCCTCTCTATTTCTCCTCCCACTTACCCCTCTTTATCACCTCTGTGCCTTGGTCTTCCAGCTCCCGAATTATCCTTGTGGGGGCCCTCCCCACCCCCAGGTAAATGAAGAAGGTCAGGCCAGCAGGGGTCAGGACTGTTTGCCTCTTGGGTTGGTGTATTACTCAGGAAGGTGTTCAATAAACCACAAAATGTATTGTCAATTTCCTAATTTCAAAACACAATGTAAAATAATTCTTACTGGCACAAGTGTCTACGTGTGATTATTTCAGCAGAACAGGTTTTGTGTTTCA